TTCCTGGACAGCTAGGCTTGGGACCTCAGAAATGCCAGTCTGTCTCCTGAATTCCTGACCGATGCTGATTTGCAGGATTTTATATTTTAAAAGATCCTTTCTTTCTGTTGGATGTAATTCATGCAGGTTCGCTGCTCTTCGGAAGGACTGGAAGTCTGGGTGCAAGACTCCCGCCACCTGTGTACCCGAGCGGGCCAGATCTTGACTGTCAGCGTCCAGATGAACGGGTGGCTATATGGGGGGGACCTTATTTGTCCATCTTGCTGGGATTTCTGTGACACCTGCCCCCCAGAACGAGATCCACCTCTCGACAACAGGACTCGAGTCACACCACTGGGTGAGGTTAATGCATCTCATCTTTAGTTTGTCAGTTGTTTTGGTGAATGTGAGATTTAAAGACCGCACTAAACTGCTGGTTAACATTGCGATGTACAAAGCGCCACCAAACTGATTTTTCTTTACGTGATTACAGCTGCATTAACAAAGTGGTTTAACTCCTAAATGGAAGCTTATTGAGCGTTAAGACTGCAGGGGCATCCTCTGTACACCAAAACTGCTTCATTAAGCTAAAGTTGTTTTGGTACTGGGAGTACACCTTTAAAGAAAACACCATAAACGTGACCTCGCACTGTAGTGGTTGGCTGGATTGCCCTTGTTAGTAGTCAAGCGGTTTGCAGCTGTAATCGCTCTGTCTGAGCCAAGTCTGACGGTGCAGGTAAGTATCTGGGAGAGATCAGTAGACGCTGGTCTTGCATTGCATGGTTTAGCCCCTGGTTCTTAGTACCAAAAGGGGAGAGTCACAGGAGCGGCACCTGGCAGATCCCAACTATTGGCAAACTGTTTCATAACTTACATTGGGCACTCCTGGCACCATAACCACTGCATCATGTGTTAGTGGTTATGGTGCCAGGAGTGTTCCTTTAACCTTAGCTTAGTAATAAGAATAAAGGCAATAAGTGCCTGGAAGGAGAACGTGACGCGTCTTTGTAAGATATTTTATCCCGTGCTTCCATGTTTGGCGATCGGTTTGGTGCCCAGTTCTGACTGTTGCCCTTTGCTCCCCGGCATGACTGGATTTATATGGAATTAATAGAGAGGTTTGCTCTGTGAACAGATTTCACATCAACAGGTTTATTTACGAAGATAAAATCAAGGTAGAAATAGTCTATCTGGAAACATACACCTCTGGTTTCAGTACAGCTACTCTTGCCTTGAATGTGACTTTTCACTTTATTAAATAACCCTGGAATTCTCACCCAACCACACGCTCCTGACTGGCTGGTGCGCACGCCGTGTTTATTCAATCAGAATAAAACTGGGTGCGAGGGAGGGAAAGTTTAGTGTTACTTTATGTAAATGTAACCACAGCAGTTGGGGTATTAATCATTTAATCCTTTTATTTCTCTCTGATATTTCAGATCTTTGCTCTCGTTCTTCAAACATGGTTGTTACCCTGTGGCTTCTGATGCTCAATCTGCTCCCCCTGCTGGCAGGGTTCTTTCTCTGCGTCTATAAGTGAATGAGAAGCCACGATGCTCCTGTCTCGGCTCGCACTGGATGAGTTTGCGATGGCCGTCCCATGTTACTCTGTTACCTCAGCACGCAATGACCGGTCGCTGAGCACAGGAATACTTCTCAAACCGGGCACTTTCTCCTCTGGGTGACTGAGTGATATTGGCCATCACTGCAGTCAATCTGGACACATTCCTACATAATGTGATTATTATTTATTTTTAAGGGATATTAGCTGCTAAGTTAAGAGATTCTGTTTCTGCGATGGGGATAAAAATAATCGATCTTGGCATTGCTTTTAGCTGGACTTTTAAACCTCCTACCGTGGAAGATTCTCCATCTCCCATGGACCATTTTGTTATTGATATCCGGACTGATTACTTTTTCTTTATCATGGAGCGGTCTAGGAGTACATCAAAGCAGGACGATGTGACGGCACACTGCATCTGACCGCTGGGATTACCATCCTGCTTTAATTATGACGGTTTCACTAAATAGATATATTTACTGTAATTTAGTAAAACTAGTTATAGGCAAAGAGATCAGTTACAGCGCCGGCCGCCTCTGGCGTCTAGTCAGTACTTTGGTTTAAGTTAAATGTAAATTATGTTCCAGTCTGTTTAGCGCACTTTCTTTTCTGGTGCTGGAAACCTATGATTATTAAGATATTATTATCTCCATCTATTAGGGTTTCATCAAGAAAGATCCCCATTGCAGTGTCTGTGTCTTAATGTTATGTATATGTTCGTATGTGTTTAAGTATGCACTTTGTGTACAGAGATAATTCACTCCATCAAGTTATTTGTTACCCCTTATAAATGCTGACCAGGAATCATTTGATTTGGAAGGGGTAATTAATAATTATTTGTAAGACTGATTTTACAAGGTACTAAAATGGATCAATATAATTGGAAGCATTAAATGGACACTCTAAGCACCAAAACCACCACCTCTTACTGAAGTGGTTGTGTAGCCTAGATCCTCTCCCTGCAGACTGGCAAAATAGAATATCTGAGAAATGGCAGTTACGCCTTCAGTGACATCAGAATGGTGGCCACTAGAAAGACTTCTTTAAAATGATTGGCCAGACGAATCCAACCCCTGTATATGCGTTTTATAGCGAAGCATTGAATTCAGTGCTGCTCTGAGAGAAGCATCTTGCTAACAGAACCCAGTGGGTCTTTATTGCTTTCCCGATGATAAACATGGGCTGGGACTGAATGGATGATATTAGAATAGGAGGAGCTGGCCCAGCACTGGATAAAAGGTGCAGAAACACAATGTCCCAGGAATATTTTAACTTTACAAATAAATAAATACTTAATATTTATTTTTAATGTTAAAGTGTTCTTTAAAAGCTAAGATTTCACAAATGCCATAAATTATCACAGGCCAAAAAACCAGCAGAAGAAATGGGTAGAATCTGTCTCTTTCTGTCCTTTGTTTCATTAAAGACCGCTCAGTCTGCGATACTGTTCCCATTTTCGATCAATGGTCAGCTCCCGTTTTTACGGTTAATAAGGCGGTTTGTAAATACGATGTTAACATGGCTCTGATACGGCATTGATTATTAGAAATGCAATATTTATTTTATAAAATGTGCAATAACTGTGCCAAACGTCTGCTTTCCCATCCTATCCCTATGTAATACTGTATGTCACCCGGTACCAGTACTAATAGCAGCTAGCGCCGGCGGAGAAACGTTTCCAATGCCCAGCTACCCGGGGCAGAACATTCCGTCAGCAGCAAATAAAACAATATTTCAAAATAAGAAAAAATGAATCTTGATATAAGATGTAGTTCATGTGCAGGATTACTGTTTATTTCAAGGTAATGGTAATCAACAGAGCACAACTAATGATAAACATCTGCAATAAAGTCAAACCCATCAGGGGAGAACAAGGCAGCCCATAGGTATTCTGCGAGGCTATGCTAGACAACTGTGATGGTCCTTGAGTTGGTGGAGTATCATGGGGAATGTAGTTCCCAAACCTCTGGAGTGCCAATGATAGCCATCACTGCTGTAGAGAATACAAGGCCGCGTCCTTACTGCGTGAACTCCTGAGAACAGTCCGTATGCGGCCAAGATGGAGTAAGGAGTCACCACAAGGGCGACTTTTATTGCTTTTCTCCGTAGATTCCCCCACCAGGGAGGCCCAGCCCCGGCTGCTAGTGCGTTTTTATTTTCGTGTGAATTGTATTTAGTCAGGGTTGTTCACATCGAAATAAAGTTTGAATTACAGTTTATATTAGCCAACGTTCTCCAAATCAAATGTTTTCAGTTTACCAATTTTAGAACTTGAAATGAGTCCACATTGTAACGAATAACCATGTGAGTGTATTCCTTCCTTGCTGTAATTCACTGCTTTGTTGACATGATTCAGTTGTGCATTCCATGTTAATATGAAGCCGTATCCCTTTGCAGAGAAACTATTCTTAATCCCATCTATCCCGATCCTATGCAACGCTACCTCAGTGTTACTTTCCAGACTCTGCACATGGAGCGTGGTAACACTAAGATCGTATTCTCAGGGAATAATGAGTGTGCACACGCTCTTTATTGCAATCAACACTGCAGCCTAACTTTGAGTTTAACCCGGTCACTGCCAGACACTGAGTATTTTCTGTCTTTTACTCTATTGCAATAAAAAGGACAGGTTTATGCTTCTCATTTTATGAAAAGCACAGTTTGATTACAGCCTCCAGAAGTTTTGTGCAGTATCACAACTGGTCTGATTCTTGGGTAAGGCATGGGGTGTCCAGGCCTGGGGTGTGTGGGCTCTGTTAGTCTGTGGTAAACCATAAGGGGCCTGAATCTTGAGTCCTAGTCAGGCCATGAATGTGGTATGCCAATCCTTGTGGCATACCACACCGTGTTTGATACTTGGGTCTGGTGCTGGCCACACAGGATTTATCCTTGGGTCTGAAGCTGGCCACACGGGGTCTGATTCCCTAGGTCTGTAGCTGGCCACACGGACTTTGATCCTTGTGTCTAAAGGTGGCTGGATGACTTATCTCCTCTTATCTTACGGTTTTACCACCTCTGCTGATTGGCAGGATTGTGATTAACTGCAGACATGAAAAGAATTAACCTTGTGAGACAGAGGTGGGCAATATATTGATTGCACTCAAATGGTTAAGGGCTACTGTGTTACTTTGGATGAACAGGATTACCATGTAAGTGTTACTTTGCATACTTTTAGTAAAATGTAATTTTAACACTGTCAAAGTACAAATAAAAATCTGAAAGAATAATGTGTGTGTGGTCCTGGGGAGTCCATGGGTAGGAATGAAACAACTGAATTTGTTTGCAGGAATGTGAGTTAGCTCGTGGGGGCATCCACCTTCCCAACTGGAAGACCCAGCTAGACCATTAGGTGTGTATTGTTTGGAATTAGCTGTTTTCTTGCATTATGAGACCATGATTATGTACACTAAGAGTCTAGTGACCCACTGTCTCCATTCAGGCTTGCAGTGACTGCCACAGAATGGGGCACCCTTCTCACAGTTCCACCATACTCCTCACAGACCCAATCCCACCGTCCTCCTCACAAACACAAACCAATCGTCCTCAAAGACTCAATCCCACTTTCCTCCTCACAGACCCAATTCCACAGTCCTACTGTCCTCACAAATCCTATCCCACTGTTATTGGCACAGTCCCACCATCCTTCCCACAAACTCAATTGCACCGGCCTCACAGACCCAAAGACTTAATCCTACTGACCTCCTTACATACTGAATCCATTTGTCCTCAAAGACCCAATCTCACCGTCCTCACAGACTACAACTAATAACAAAATAATGGACTGAAAACCAAATTGCAAAATGTAGGGTAAAGTTATGATTAGTCGAGTTGATCTAGAGCAGGGGTTCCCAACCCAGTCCTCAAGTACCGCCTAGTAGGCTGATTACCTGGTTGTGTCTAAAGGGTTTCTTTCTTTCTAAAAATACCTTAGACACAACTGGGTATTCTTTAAATACTGACCTGATAGGGGGTACTTGATGACTGGGTTGGGAACCACTGATCTAGAGAATTAACTTAAGTCACATGTGCAACAAGCCCCCCGTACACAGTTTACAATATATCAGTATGTGCAGAGTTTTTAAGCTGATCCATGGCACATACTGACTCCTACCACCATGGCCACTTCAATTCACTGTCATGGAACTAAACGTAGCAATTCAATGGGACTGCATTCCGACCCTCCTACTGTCATTCTAGTTCTACTACTACAGACTCTACTACTAGTTCTCTGACAGTAGGAGGGTCGAAATACAGTCCCACTGAATTGATACGTTTAGTTCTCTGACAGTAAGGGGGTCGGAATACAGTCCCATTGAATTGCTACGTTTAGTTCTCTGACAGTAGGAGGGTCGAAATACAGTCCCATTGAATTGCTACATTTAGTTCTCTGACAGTAAGAGGGTCGGAATACAGTCCCATTGAATTGCTACGTTTAGTTCTCTGACAGTAAGAGGGTCGGAATACAGTCCTATTGAATTGCTCGGTTTATATCTATGACAGTAGGAGGGTCGGAATACAGTCCCATTGAATTGCTACGTTTAGTTCTCTGACAGTAAGAGGGTCGGAATACAGTCCCATTGAATTGCTACGTTTAGTTCTCTGACAGTAAGAGGGTCGGAATACAGTCCCATTGAATTGCTACATTTAGTTCGATGACAGTAGGAGGGTCGGAATACAGTCCCACTGAATTGCTACGTTTTTTTGATGACAGTAAGAGGGTCGGAATACAGTCCCACTGAATTGCTACATTTAGTTCGATGACAGTAGGAGGGTCGGAATACAGTCCCACTGAATTGCTATGTTCAGTTCTCTGACAGGAGGAGGGTCGGAATACAGTCCTATTGAATTGCTCGGTTTATTTCTATGACAGGAGGAGGGTCAGAATACAGTCCCATTGAATTGCTACGTTTAGTTTGATGAAAGTATCCCGCTCTAGAGCGCTCCCCTTGCTGAGCACGGCACCATCAATTAATACAGCATAAATCACACATTGAACACAGGATGTAATTATTTTTTATGATCTGCGAAAGTAAAGTGAAGAATAAAAAAATAAAATTTATAAAATACACATAAAAAGCATTTTTATATATATATATATATATATTTTATTTTTTTCTAGCGCCACATCCGCCAACTCTACTTTCTTTAAAACTAATATGGTGGCTGCCGTCTGATCTCTCACATTCTCTGTATCTACCGTCTGATCAGTGAGCTTTCTATGCCAAGATCACTGTTACAGAGCGCCTGGTTTACCAAGACGCCAGTTTTTCATGAGTTCAGCAATTAGCTCCATGTTCAGTTCCCCACATTGAATGCAGCATTTATCATGTGCGTATGCCAGTGTATTAAATACAACATTGATTAACCGTCTAAGCTCCTCACCAATAACTTGTGCGTATTCAGCATTGATTAACCGTCTAAGCTCCTCACCAATAACTTGTGCGTATTCAGCATTGATTAACCATCTAAGCTCCTCACCAATAACTTGTGCGTATTCAGCATTGATTAACCGTCTAAGCTCCTCACCAATAACTTGTGCAGATTCAGCATTGATTCACCGTCTAAGCTCCTCACCAATAACTTGTGCGTATTCAGCATTGATTAACCGTCTAAGCTCCTCACCAATAACTTGTGCGGATTCAGCATTGATTCACCGTCTAAGCTCCTCACCAATAACTTGTGCGGATTCAGCATTGATTAACCCTCTAAGCTCATCACTAATAATGCGTATTCAGCATTGTCCATATAATATTAATTATCGTGAGGGGGAGCTCAGTGACCGCTTCGCAAAGCTATTTAAATACTTCCCTGATGTAGCACTATGGTTATATCCTAAACCAAACACTAAAATCTACGGCTGTTCTCGAAACCGAAAGCTGGCAAATCTAGAATTAAAATCATATTAAAATGTGTGTTGAAGAGAGAGCGCCATGGCTGAAGTAACCCAGAATCCTTAGCGCTAGTAATGTTCTGGATGATTCTGTAGGCAGGAGATGAATGCCTGGATTGGACAGCGCTCATAACAAATCCTATAGACGGCCACAAAGAGGGGAAACCTGTAAAGCAGAAAAATCTTATTAGATTTACACAGGTTTTTTTATTTTTATTTCTTATTTAACTTTAATCATACTAAATGTTCTGAATGGAAAAAACATCCAATTTGACCATTTTAAAATTTATTTTTAAAACAATTGTTGTACACACTCAGCTAAATTGCCCAAGATGGGGGCTATTTGGTGTCTGATGGAGAAAAAAAAAATGGATTAAACATTTAAGAATTTGGTTATTTATCAATAGCTTCATGTTCCTTGTAGCAAAGCACTACAGCTTAAAGCAGCACGGTCATGCCAAACTTACCTTTCTTTAATCGATTCCTCTTCCTGTCTGCTCTAGTTTTCTTTAAAACATAAGACAAAGTAGGGACTATTTGTTTTATGGAGGTTTCCTATGAGTGATCTTGCGATTCTTCCTGTCAGTATTTCTGAACGTCCTGTCACTTAGGACGAAATTCGGTTGTTTCACCAGCGTTCTCCCTAACAGAATGAGAACAGTTTCTTCGTTAGGACGCAATTCGGGACTTTGTTCGGATCGGAATTTCATTCGAATGAATGAAACTCCGATCCTATTCGTGCCCCTGCTGCATCTTGCAGGCGCTTAGTAGATAGCTCCCTAATACCGTTGTAATTAAGGAGTTTTCTACCAAAAGGCTGAAAAACCTAAATTGCTATACCGCGAGTGGGGGCATGTCTACTAAACAGTGAGCAGCCAGTGGCAGGTGGGGGCCCTCAATGAAATTGGGAGGAGGGACCTATTGTCTCCCCCCCCCCCACGAGTGGCGGGGGAGGGGCCCTAAATAAAAATTGCAGGGGGAGCTATTGTCCCCCCCCAGCCGACACGCATGAGCGGTGGGTGGGGGCCCAAAATGAAAATATTAACCCCCCCCCCTCAGGTGATCTCCAAGCCCCTTACCATTTGATGTCTTCTTTTTTCTGAAATCTTTTTTCAGGCCCAAAAAAGGCCAAATAAAAGTCCATAATACCATTTGCACATTAAAAGTGAAATAAAAAACCGGAGCGCCAAAAAAAAACAAAAAAAAAAACCCCAGATGCTAAAAAATAATCCATCTTCACCCATGGAGGGCACGGTGCAGACTGAGGGGACTTCTAGTCACCTGGAGAGTAAAAATTTTATTTATGGCCCCCACCCGCTGCTTATGGGTGGGGGCGGGAGGGCAATAGGAGTCGTCTCCCTCCCCCATATTTTTATTTAGGGTCCCCAACCGCCTGGGGGAGGACAATAGGTCCCCCGTATAGTTTAATAGCCCCCACTCGCACGGCATGGGAGGGGGGAAACTAGGGTTTTTGTTTTTTTAACAGTGAGCTGCCAGTACTAGACATGCCCCTACTCATAGCGAGTAGGGGCATAATTTACTAATTCTAAGTAATCTTTACTTAGTATTAGTAAATTTGGCTGAAAGACCAGTTTAGGTATTTCAGCCTTTTGGTAGATAGCTCCCTGATACCGTAGGAGTTATCTACTAAGCAGCTGCAAGATGCAACCACGGCACGAATAGGATCAGAGTTTCATTCATTTAAATGAAATTCCAATACGAATAAAGTCCCAAATTGCGTTCTTACATAAATGAAGAAACTGTTCTCATTCTGTTAAGACGCAATTCAGTAGTTTCACCAGCGTTCTGTCTAATTGACTTTTGCTTTGATCACCGAGACGTAGCACACTTTGTTCCTCCGCTGGTCAGAGATGGCCAGGCGTAGGAAACCTCCATAAGACAAGTAGCCCCTACTTTGTCTTATGATTTAAATAAAACTAGAGCAGACCTAACAGACGGGGAGAAGAGAAATCAGTTAAAGAAAGGTAATTTTCAGCATGACAGCAAGACCACTATAGGCACCCAGACCACTTCAGCTCAATGAAGTGGTCTGGGTGCCAGGTCCCCCTAGTTTTAACCCTGCAGCTGTCAACATAGCAGTTTCAGTTTACATTAGGGTTAATACAGCCTCTAGTGGCTGTCTAACTGACTGCCGCTAGAGGCGCTTCCGCGATTTTCACTGTGAAAATCACAGTGAGAAGACACGGACATCCACAGGAAAGCATTGAAAAATGCTTTCCTATGGACTGATTGAGCCAACGTCGGAAGAGGGAGGAGAGTCACGAGCGCCGGGCTCCCTGCGCGGGAAAAAGGTAAGTGATTAACCCCTTCCTCCCCCTTCAGCCAGGCGGGAGGGGGGCGAGACATAAAGACCCTATAGTGCCAGGAAAATGAGTTTGTTTTCCTGGCACTATAGTGGTCCTTTAATGATTAACTCCACCTCCATCTAATTCCCACGTATACTTTTTACCGCTATCTAATTCCCGCGTATCCCGCTCACTGCCATATAATTCCGGCATATCCCGCTCACTGCCATCTAATTTCCGCATATCCCGCTCACGACCTCTAATTCCCACGTATCCCGCTCACTGACATCAAATTCCCACGTATCCCGCTCATTGACATCAAATTCCCACGTATCCCGCTCACTGACATCAAATTCCCACATATCCCGCTCACGACATCTAATTCCCGCGTATCCCGCTCACCGACATCTAATTCCCACATATCCCGCTCACTGCCATCTAATTCCCACATATCCCGCTCACTGCCATCTAATTCCCACATATCCCGCTCACCGCCATCTAATTCCCACGTATCCCGCTCACCGCCATCTAATTCCCGCGTATCCCGCTCACCGCCATCTAATTCCCGCG